GCCTGAACACGTGGGGGGCTGCGCCCAAAGCAATCTGGAGGACTGTGGCGCTGCTGTTTATGTATCTGGGGGGGTGGCCTCCTTCTACCTCCCGGGACACGGTGCACGGAAGGAGTGACGGCAGCTTCGGCAGGTACATCAGGGAACCTATTAAAAGGATGCCGCCACATCGGCAATGTCAACGGGAAAGATNGGGGGGGTGGCCTCCTTCCACCTCCCGGGACATGGTGCACGGAAGGAGTGACAGCAGCTTCGGCAGGTACATCAGGGAACCTATTAAAAGGATGCCACGTCGGCAATGTCAACAGGAAAGATTTAAGGGAGGTGCCAGGGGGCATCTTCCTCACACGGGCTGCGTCCGCAGAAACAATTCTGATGCCAAGGGCTTTGGCAGCAGCACATCAGACACTCACTTTGCGTGAATCAGCCTGTCTGCCGCTCTCCATCTCCAGCAGAGAACACGTCGTCGATCACGGTCTGATGCTCGTCGTTTCTCTGATGAACGTTCTGGGAGATCAAGTGCCCGGTCGGTGTCCTCGGGGCCCTGGAGCAGTCAACCCCAGATGCAAACGAGACGTGGCCTTCATGTGAGACTCTTCCCGGGGCCCTCTGAGGTGGACCGTCCACTGCATGGGGGAAGACTAAGGAAGAACGTCGGCCTCTACCCCACCAAATGATTTCGTGCTCAACATTGCGCTCCCCAATTTAACTCAGACAGATGGCCCCCGTCAAACAACAAAGATCGGTAAAACTGCATGCACATTGAGAACCAAAGGGAAGGGCTTTCCCAGGCGGCTCTAGCTTCAGGAGAACGACGCTGCCACAGGCCATCAAGCCGCCCTTTACATGAAGAGAGAGATGGAACATGGATGTACTTACTCCCGCGTTCTCTTCCGTAGCCAGAAACGTCGCACCAGAAATATCTCTCAGCGACGGTCCTTGAGATGGCAAACAGAAAATTTTGACAGCATGGGCCCCCCAGGCCCGCTGGCCAAAGGAAGATACGATCTATACGAAAGCTAACAGTGTCATAAAGAGGGAATGCTAAGTCAGCTTTCCAATGTGGACTCTGATCAGAACAACAGCATCTGTTCAAAACTGGCCATTCCAACTCTTTTTCAAGATAATGACCCGCGTGTGAGTGTTTGCTCCCCTCTATCCATTTTGGCCCTTCCCGGGGTTCCTCCCAAAAACGACTCGGACCTCCACAAAAGTGCAAGCCACAAGAATCGCTCAGCTTATTCTCTCTCCAGTACAGAAAATATTCATCGTACTGGAAGTGTGTTACGTAATAGTGCATAATACTAAAAAAGGGATCAATGTCAAGGATTACTGGTGAGAAAAAGGCTTGCCACATACAACCTCCTCTCCCCACTGGAGCCGCCTTGGAAGGCACTTGCAAGGAGGAAAGGGGACGGGAGACCTCCCCCCGCCCGGGGGGGTGTCACCTTTCCTATATCTGAGTCCCCTCGTGTATTTCAGAGGAGAGATGGGATGGTATAAATGAGACTTCTCAGCTCTTCTCCGCTCGAACAAGTACAGGAAATTGAATGCTGCATGTGCCAGCGGGGAAGCTTGCATTCTGGCCCTGAAACGGGGCCCGATCCCCCATCAATTCCTCCGGGAACGGGTCCGCACTGCCTCAACAGGCATCCTGCCTGCGCCCATAGAAGCCAAGCCCTGCGTTTGATTCCCGGATCGG